TGACTATTTAATATACTTTAAAAGTCTCTCTCATTTATTTATTATTTATCTTTTTAGTTAGAGGAAGAAAACCCAAAAATCTGTAAAGTAGAATTAGCTGTGTTGTGGTAAGACATATTGCCAGTGCTCACATTATACAATACATTTTTACATTTAGATTCCATTTCCAAGTATGAAGATAAGGAAAAGAACCCAAACCCTATGGATTTTATTAGCTGGATATGGAAACATTTCACTTGAAATTTCCAGAATCAGACCCTTGTCTTTGCATATTGGCAAATATTTATCTTGAATGTGCTTCACAATTCCATTTGATTTTTAACACACAGAACTACATGTTTATGCAATAAGAAAAAAGATGGGACTGTTAACTCTTACTGTAACTACTTCAAAGACAATTTAGTACTTCTGTGGGAATGTTTGACAACGCTTTAAGGACAAGCTTTCTAATTTTTAAATGTGTATGTATGCTGATACATGCCACGTTCAAAAGTCAGTCTACGGTTTATGAGAATTTTTTTTTCTTGCTTATTTTAACTGCAGTAAGTGATGACATCAACAATCACCAATTGGGTTCACTAAGGAAAAACAGAAAGCTCTTTGCGAATTGAGACCTATAATCAGAGAAATGCTTATTTAATTTCTCTGTGGAAATATACACAGAAAGAAGATCCTCATTTATGTCCAAGGACTTCCAAAATATGCATCTTATGTGGAGAAGTTTATGACCATTTTAACTCTGGTGGTGTTAAGTAAGATGTGTACCAGAAATTCTCACCTCAGCAATCATTCTGTTGGTGTCACCCAAAAAGAGTAAGTTTAAGGCTTCTTCTTCATTGCTTGCTTGCTGAAGAGACAGGTTTTTCAGATGAATGTGCTGATCAGGGTCTTCCATTATTGTCACTTTTCTACATGGGAAAAAAAAAAAATCCAAAATGAAAACTAGAATTGTTGTAAGGTGATCTTTGTTCCATACTTTTATTTTGATTGTGACTAAAAGGTGACATCTAAAACCCCAAACCAATTATAGTAAAATAACTAAAATCATTGAGAGTAAACTGCACATTAAAGGAAGTGCTGAATATGTTTTTATGTCATCTCCTTTTTACTCCTTTAATATAAACTCCACATAAAAAAGGAATATATAAAATCTATAAATATTAGAGAAAGCTTTGGGATTCTTTTTTTAATGAGATACAGTAAAATCTCAAGGGCAAGAGGTTAGATGAATCATCACAAACAAACAATAAATAGAGGTTTGTCTGCAATTACCACAGCCGTTCAAGTACAAATGATAGACAAATCATACCATAATCTTGGTGAACAAACAGGCATGGAATACTTCAGAATCAACACATCTGTACCCAACATGTTTCTAATAACTTTGCATTTGTCAAGACTATTTCTCTTTTTATTCTTCTCAAATAGTAATAACTACAAAAGTAAATGATCCTTTTCTTAAATTAAAAGCAAGCAAACAGAATGATTTTATTTATTTCCACTGAGGTTAGAAACACTCTTAGCTGTACTTCTTTAAGCCTTAAAGTTCAGAAAAAGAAAGTTAGATGGAAGTAGCAGGGATATGGCAAAAGTTCCAGGAAAGCTACTAAATATTTCTGAAACTCCTTTTCACTTTAGTAAATAGCCCTCTAACATAAAAAGATACTCATTTGATCAGGTTACTGAGAGTTAAACTTTATTGGATTTACTGAGTAGCCATTAGTGTCTCCTCAGTTAGGACACTCTATAGTATGTAACACAGAAGTCAGGTAGTTGCATCATCAGATTTGGAAAACTCCTGGACTGGAGACTCTGCTAAAATTGAAGTACACTAATTCTGAAGATGAATGACATGTCCTTCACTGTGAATTACATGTTCTGAAACAACTTATGACAAATAAATTAAAACTTTTCAAAAAGTTAGAAGTTGTTTTTTTTTTTAAAAAAGGGTGTTTTTTTCCCTGTAAGTACAGATAATAGTTTATATATACACATACAGGCATACGTGTGCACATATATATATATATATATTTGTATATATTTTCCATATTCTTCGAGTTTAACCACAAGAGGGAGTATGGGGCTTGACTTTTTATCTCTAGATAGTTCTTCTGTGTTAATTACTCCAAGTTGCTTCAAAACCACACAGGTTGAGTTTTGCTCTGCTTTGCTTGTCTTTTTTTCCCCCAAAACTGACAGAATCAAACTCAGCAGCTAAGCAGCATTCCATAGTATTACTCTTAACTACTGGGGAAATAGTTCACCCTCTGATGGTCAAGACATTGGAATGGAAACAGAAATAATCTGAACACATTGCAATACACTCACTTTTTTCAAGAAAAAAAACAAACAACAAACCAAAACATTTCTACACACAATGCACACACAAAGTGCACACAATTCTTCTTTAATAGTCGTAACAATTCTGATTTTTCCAACTGCCTCCCATTTATAGCCTTATTTTTGTGCAGTAGGGTATGACAGCACTAGGACAGTCATGAAACTCTGCTTCCCACATTCAGAGCACAAACTCAACAGCATAATTCTGCTCTTGCATGACAATGTTTTGATAATGTCAAGTTGTATTCTGTCCACAATTCCATCTGTGCGTGCATCACACACTAAAGTCCAGAGTGGTTCTGATTACAGTATGATGCTTTGACTAACTGTAATATTTTGATATTGCATGGTAAGCATCATATACATCTTTTGATAGTTTAGGAAAACAATGTTTTAATATGCACACTTGGCAGAGTTTTTAAAAATTTAAGCATCTTTTCATATTACATTTTGACCAATACTTATAAATTATTTCCAGACAACAAGGATATTAGTTTGGATGAAAGGCTCTGGAGGATTATTATATCAGACAGGAGACAGTGGGGACGTCACACACTAGTGACAGCTTCCTATACAGTGGCCTTGCACCTATTAGGAGGATTTCCAGATGATAGTCTAAATTTGCACATCCTGAGAGGCATCTGTCAAAACTTCCTCAAAATATGCATTCCAAAATGACAACAAAGTTATTTATTTTACAGTCATATAAAGTTACTGTATGGTATGTATAAGAATTGATTTCTACAGAACATTCTCTGTATTCATGAAATCTTTAAATTTCATTGCCTTAACTTGGATCTTGGAGTGGAAAAGCTCTGTTTAGTTATCCCATACTGACTGAAAGAAGGCAGAGACAAAGTTTTGTTTTCTTTATAAACAAAGAATCTTTTCCATTTGACTTAATGGATGAAATTTATAGCTGACTAGGAAACCTGTAGGATGGGATCAGCCTTTTTTATACTGTTATTAACTCAGGGACTTTTCTGCATCAGCTGTGCTGCAATTAAAGCAAAAGAGCCTTACACATTGAATGCTTTCATTTATGACATTCCTGTTGCTGGCAAACAAAGTTAAAGCTTCCTTTGATTAATCTATCTTTAATTAATACTACCTCATTAATTTGTATAATATAACTTTAAAACCCAACTTTAAATATTTGGGAAAACAAATGATGATTTTAAAAATAAAGATTCCTATGACTATATCTGTCTCTAGGGCTTAGAATTGAAGAAATCTAAAATAATCTCAAAAACTTTTATAAACATTTAAAAATTAATCATAATGATACAAGCAAATCATAGATGAGGATATATACCTTCTATGACAATACTTTAGCAGATTATAGTGATACTACTTCAGCATGAGGAAGAGACTATACAGACAACAATAATAAATTTAGGAAAAGCATAAAACAGAAAAGCAAAAAGTATGCATCTTTGAGACTGTCCAGAAGAGAATGTACTAAAGGATAACTATAGCTAATCTTTGTGTAAAGTTGCAAGTTGCTTTAGGTTTTAAGAAAGAATGGCCAATATCATAATTTTATAGATATCATTAAAAAAAATATCTTTCAGAAGTATAGCTCTCTGAACACATCAGAGGACAAAGTCTACACTGATTAAAGAGACAAGGTTACAAAGTTACTCAGGCACCAGCACAGCTTTCAACAGCAGAGAGATGTGACTTTCTGTTCAAGCAAACACCTAGAGCATAATCTCCTTAGCTTATGAGACATGACAGAAGTATGAGATGAGTAAGTATTGGTGCAGGCTTTTGTTCTGACATATCATATTGTGATAGGAAATCCTTCCCACTGTCTCCAATGCATTCTACATATGAGACAAGAAAAACAGTTTGCTGCTTCTACAATTTATGGACATAGGAGTGCATTGGTACTGACTGAGAGACTTTTAGGAAGTGCTGCTTTGAAGAACATTTAGGAGTTAGCGATTCACACAGCAGTTAAACTGAGCAGGCACTGTCTGTGCTGTGCTACACACACAACGTGGCATTCAGACCTGTGTGGTGCTACTGGATAAATTCAGCCAGGTCACTGTAACAGAACAGCGCGCAGGCAGCTCCCACCTGCTTATCACACCCTCTGTGTGGCCTTGCCTTTATCAAGAAATGCCACAGAAAGTTCTCATGAGAAGACCTTTTAGAAATGGAGCTGATTTCTTGTAAGGAAACTATATAATAGATTGAATGACCAAAAGGAAGAGCTTCTCTCTATGGACATAATCTGTGCTGCTCTGTCCAGTGCGCGGTCAGGAAATACACTCAGGTTCCATCCAATGCAGCATCCGATGGGATGTAAGATTTACTTGCCATCTATAGTCCTCTTCTTATTCTGTCTTACTAAAGCAGTTCCATTATTAAGCCATTTGCTGTTGGGTCTTTCTTACTGAGAACCAGAAAGAGCCCTGCACCAGCTCTCTCTTCTCCTGACCCCACCATGAAGAACAAGAACAAGGAATAAACAATATATAATGTATGTTGAAGTTATTATACACATTTAAAATAATAAATGTAATTTAAAATGTAATTTCTTTGAACTGTAATGAACAAAACATAATCTTTGAAGAAATGATCAGTTGTCTCCTCATTAACAAACAGAAAAGATTAAGTTTAAAGACCTTAAGATTCTCCTAATCTTTCGTATTCCATAGCAACACATACACTGAACACTTCATTTTAAAAGAATGTATGTCACATGAAAACAGTGAGCTATTATTATTGTTAGCCTTAAAAATTTAAAAACACTTTAAATTTAAAAACACTGAAAATACAGTTCTTGAAGATCGATGTATGGTAGCCAGTTTCTAGGTTACAGAGTTGGTATAGCCATTGAAAAGGAGAAGGGCTGATATTAACACTGTTGAGCCTGAAGTATATATAATATATTTCCTTTATGTTGAAAATTATTTCTTCAGACTTTTTTTTTCTTCTTTGTTAAGTATCACAAGGAATTATTATACTAGTTGGTTTAGAGTTACTCATTTGAGGTAGCTAACCAATATTCAGTTACATATTTTTTAAAAAATTAATATATTTTACACTGACCCAATAGAAAATATAAAATATAAAACACACACACACGTATCATTGTTATGTCTTAAATTAATTGACTGCTAGCTTAAAGTGTCTTCCTTTTCATGAAAATGAGTTCACTTAATCTATAGTTCAAATAAATTTCATTTTTCTGTAGAAATATGTACAACACTGTACAACAAAGAACCTGTTAGAAGTGTCTTGCACAACCTTAGAGCACATGAAGAGCTTCAAAAAAGTGTTCCTAATTTGAACAGTCCTGCAAACCTTTTATGAAAACAAGAGATGCAGTAAGAATTCAAATAGTCTCCTACCAGCTATATTTTATAGCAATAGTTTTATACTTTTTACATGTTTGAAAACAATCATAATCTCCTTGTATAAACATGGAAATATCTATAGCTACAAACAGAATCAGACTGTCAATAATAAATTAAGTTTTTGAATTCTAAAAATTAATTAAGATTTTAAAAATGTATTTGCATCTGCATGTTCTGGGTTTCAGCTACAGTGTCACAAAATTAAAACAGTCAGTCAGCTTTGTGCAAGCAAAACAAGTTACAATTGCAAGCTAAGGTGCATATGAAGCATTAAGGTATATCAATGACATCTTCTATGGGCTATTTGTAATGTCATTACAACTCAAAATTATAAAAACTGGTTTTTTTATGTGAAAATAAAAGTTCAATTGTATTTCAAAACAAAATTTAGTTTATGCTTATCTGCACCTATTAGAAACATGATACATATTTAGGTATGCATATATAAATATGTATATGTATATAAATATCTCTAAATAAGCATACATAATTATGTAAGTCTATATATGAATCTATATGCATATACATAGAGGAATTTCTTTCCAGACAAGTAGTGATTTCTGTGTACAAGCCTCTTCCCTTCTCATCTATCAGATTCTCAAGAAATGATAAAGCAGTACTAAGATGAAAACATAATAGTCCACTGAATATACAAAGGATGGCTACACACAAAATACTGACTTCAGGAGCTGGCGCTCCAAATCTAATTATGTAGTGAATGGATGCAATGGGCAATTTTAAGAATTTTTATTATTCACTTTGCCTTAAACATCAAATACAATTTTAACTTCTTGTATATCTTTGATTCAAATTGCATCCCCTTCTTTTGCAGGAACGTGGATAACAATACTATTCCAGAACAATTTGCATGCTTTACAAGGCTAACTAATCTTCTGTTTACTCCTCTAAAATGACACATTTCTTCCACACTTTTCTCACAAATTTTTGCTCCCTTTTTAGCTCAGAATGTCAACATATATTTTTACATTTTGAATCTCTAAATTATTATCTTAAAACATAACCAAAAAAATGTATTAATTAAATATTTTTATAGAGTGCTAAATATGAGTAGTGAAGGTATAGTTTTAGTGTAAAGTACTTTTTCTTTTGACAAATAATGTACTGGAAACAATAATGACCTTGTCCAACAAAACCATTAAGCACTTCTTGAAACTAGTTAGTCTACAGAGAAAAATTTATTATCTCACTAAAACTCATCCTGTAGTAACATACACTAAATAAGTTTACAGGTAACTTAGATTATCCCAGTGTGCTCTATCCCTAATTCACAACCAAATTATCTGTCAACTTTTATGTTTTAAAAGTAGACTAATACATAACAAAGAGTCATTCTTTAGTTTAACTGAATCATCGTACATACATAAATTAATTTTGAGATTCTAAAATTAATGATTATTAGTAAACACTCAGAACCTAGTTTTAAAAAGTGACATATTTTCCAGGGTATATGACTCCTAAATAACTGTTTCAAATAAAGTTGCAATTCAATTAATCAAATTCAATTTAGTTTGACTGAATAAATTCAATTTAATAAAATGAATAAATGGAATGAGTTCAAATAAAATATTTCTAATAACTAAATTAATGAAATTAATAATTTAATACACTTGAATAACTTAATAGCATTAAATTTAATAAGCTAAATAAAAGTGTAAGTAACAGACTATTTTTCACACGCAGCTGTGAAAAAATCTGCACTTGCAAAAATGGGCACAAAAATTAAATTATTATTCAACTTAGTCTCTGAATTAAATTTTTTCTCTGCATAGCACAGGAAGAAGATAATAAATTAAATTAAACTCCCATATTTTATCACAAAAATGACATCAGTAAATATATATAGCATATACAGCCTTTATAGCATCAACATGTCATAAAGCGACAAAATTTAGTTCAATTTTACAGATGGAGAAAGGGAAGCAATGGAACCAACTTACAGCCTAGTTGCATACTTTGAGTTTGGCTGCTGCCTTTCTCTTCTCTAGACTAGCTTATTTTATTAGTCTTGAAAGTTTTTTTGACATGTATGTCCTAAATACCACATATTATGTAGAAAACTAAAGCTAGATTTTAACACAACTTGGAAGAGATTTTTTTTTAATAAATAAAAAGCATTTAATACATTAATAACATAATTAGCTATTTTGAAATAAAATTCTATTGATTTTCTTTTACTGCTTCATTGGCAGTTTTCAGTACATTTCTTGCTCTTGCATCAGCAGTGATTTAATTGCTATTTACATGTTTCAGTCACCATCATGTCAAGTAAGAAAGCTTACAGTTCCCAGCATTATTTCAGGGCATTTGCAAATCCAAGCGTTCAACAACTTACTTATTTACAGGTTTACTCTTTGCTGAGTAACATGACACAGACTATAAACTGTTTTCTTAGAAGAAACTTAAAAGCTAGGGTTTGAATTTCCTTCAAGATCTACAGCTTCACTAGGCTTATGTGTTTATGACTTACAAATTGTTCTTTGTTACTCTTCTTCAAGTGCAAATAGGTGCTAGTGTCTAATAAGTGAAAGCTATCATAACAATCATCCATTCTGAAGTAAATACATTGGATTGCTTTGTGGTCTTTTCTATCTGTTACTTACCTTACTTCATAATCGCTTATTCTAGAAAAATAATTGCCCTTGAAGGAAAAGGTCCAAGTAGAAGCAGGGAGTTTTTCTCCCTACTGTTGCATCCTGTTATATATGTCTTTGCCTTGCTATATATGTGTCTACCATGCACACACACGTGCATACCTTGTAAAGAGACAGGCTGCCATGAGAAAAACAGGTCTATCTTCTCTTTCATTTGCAGTGGCTGCAATAGATCTCTTCTCCGTAATATCAATACACATTTTAAAAACCTTCACCTTCCATTACTCCCATCTAGTTTCCCTAGCCTCTATACATAGAAAGTTAGAGAAAATTTAGTCAGCATTTATAAAATTGAGAAAACTAAGTATTTCGAATTAACACTGAGATCAGTAGCACAGTTTTAAAAATTCCTCCAAAAATGCAACAGGGCATCTGAAAATTATTTTTGTTGTTGTTTTTGATTATTTTCCATAGTTTTATTACTCACGGCAAATCTTCCAATCTGGAGGACTTGTGTCTTGGGTCCAGCAGATCGTAACCACACTCATTGTAGATTTCTAAGTAGGAAACATGAGTTGTATACACTTTACTGCGATCCTGGATAAGAAAAAAAAAAATAGAGAAAAGGAAGAGCTATTAAGTCAGAGCTAGACCAGAGGACAAATTTATCACTACAGCTGTTATGTTGTTTCCTCACTCTGTCTCCTTTTCTTTTCCAGGGTATCGTTTTCATTTTCAATTTGAGAAACTTTTATATAAGTTTTATGTTACAAATGCATGAACAGTCAAGAAGAAGGAAAAAACAACAGCAAAAACACCACCAAAAACACACAGACAGAAAAACCCAAAACAAAAATCCCTCCAAAACCCTACCAAGTCCAGTTTTTTTCATTGGTTTTTTTATATCTAGAAAAGTCTGTATACACTTTGGCAGAAAATGGCAGTCTGCTTGCAGAACCATGTAACACGCTATTTTTCATTTCTATGACAGAAAAAGAATATTATAAAGAGGTAAACTCTCATATTATGGATAGAAAGACTATGTTTAAAAAAAAAGAAACAACAACAACAACAAAATAAAATCCAATATTTACTTCATTCAGCAGTATGTCACATCAGTGACGTACTGCTTTCCACTCCCTTTATCATAACATTTAAGCACTGTATATGATGTAGGCTGTTCTCTGTAATCCTTCTGTATTTACATTGCCAAAATGTAACTTAACACAACTGGTTTTTGCAGACAGAACTTTCTTGTGCCCCAAAGCCAAATTCAAACAACATAAACCTCAAAATAATGGGCTATGATTTCCAAAAGAAAAGAAAATTAGTCATTTATTTTCAGCAGAAGAATCCACTGTGAAAGCACTCATATCACACGCACAGTAGCAGTTTAATAACCCAATCCACTACAGTTGTTTTGCAAAATATTTTGAGATATGAACTTGTCATTCTCATTGAATAGTTATTTCCCACGTTTTTTTATTGATAATGACAGTTCACCATTTCAAAGGACACCATTTAAAGAAGATGATACACTACAGATGGATGGAAAAAATTTAGTAAGGAACTGTTCAAACAGGAAGCTGTGGAAATAGAAGAATTTCTGAACAATAAGTTAAAAGGAGATGTTATTAAAACAAAGGGCTTGATTTGCTTCTCATTTTGGGTAAAAAGTTTTGTTTCCTTAGGTTCAAATTGCACTGTCATAAAATAGCACGGTTTTAAGAACTACAAAAAAACCTTCCAATGATTTCCATTATTTTCAATCTACCACAACAAACCAGGCAATCAAAACTATTAGCAATGTATTCTCGTACAAGGTCTCACGTTGTGTTAGATATTTTATTCAGCACTAATTTTAGGGCTTCCTCCAACACTACTGTAAAACAGCCTTCTGCAACATAGTTAATTATTTGTAAACCAGACATTAAAAATAAACAGAAAACAATGTCCCATACCTTCTGCAATTGATCAAAAATATAAGAGAGAGTCCTGGGAATGATGCCTCGATCACTGTAACGTTCTGCTCCTCCAGTGATGGTAAAAGTTTTGCCGCTACCTGTCTGACCATATGCAAAGACAGTACCATTATATCCTGCCAAAACACTGTAGAATAAAAAAAACAGGGAGATAATTAATATATAAAGCATAAGTTATTTTCCATTATCAACTGCGTACAGAATCAAATATAAATAACACTAATTCTTAGTTACACAGCAGCTGTCTTCAGTAATGCAAGAATACATTTCAAGATAGGTATTCTAGAGTCAATGAAATTTAAACTATCTAGAACCAAAGGACTTTTTGATACCTTGACTTACTTCATTATTCAATAACATCATTAGTTGATCATATTTATCGCTATTTAAATTACCTTTATATACTTTTTTCTTTGGCTGATGATCTTTTACAAACATGATATTTACTCTCTCAAAAGACTATAGATGTCAGGAATTGTGACCATTGATACATTACAGCTAACGAATCTATAAATATTTCACATATGGCTTCATTGATTGCAGCTAGAAAAGACTGTAACATGGTTAGAGACTTATGTAAGATACAGCTATACATATATATAGGAGTCTTGTTTTATTTTGAGACTACTACTATACTAAACTATCAGACCTGTTCTAGCTTGGATACACGTCTGCAGGAGAACCTGTGCTTATAACAGTGCAGTAAAATCTTAATTTATTATGAAAACACACAAAAACACATCAGTAAAAGCAAGCTTTTCTGTTAGAACTGTGACTGTACAGGACGCTTCTGTGGAACAGCAATAGAAGCTATGTAATGGCATAGTTTGGAATGACATTCAGACTCAATCATCCTTTTTCAGACCTCTTGTACTTGCAGAAGTGCCTCATAAGATCCTAGTTCAAATATCTTTTCTCTAATTCACCACACTCTCATCGTTAATTTCCTCCTGATTTCCACCAAACAGTAGATAGGCTTAATACAGTTGTATAGCTGCACACTGGGGAGGAAACGTGGGACTTGGCTGCAACTGACAAACAGCTCAGCACCCATGGCCAACTGAAAGGAATGTTCAAGTTGTGACTCAATACACTTCAACATTTTTGGTCCTGATTTTGTTCTAAAAAAGGCAGCTTTGAATGCAATGAACAAAAATCAGTCCCCTACATTATCACGATCTATATTCCACTACTGAAAAGTCAGTAAAATTTGAAGGAACTATTTTTACATGTAAATATAGTTTTTTTCTTATTAATTTATGGCAAAATTTATTGCATTGTTTAGGAAGACAGAGTCATATTTTTCAAGTGAGACGCCTTTAATGGGCTGATGTCTGAAATATAAATAAAACATTTCATTTCATATTGAAAGTAAAATTTCAGGTATCCAATGTTTAAAACTCCTATTGATACTCACAGTTGACTATCATGCATTTCCCTTGTACAGCTCTGTCTCAAAAGACAAAAATACTAAAAATCTATTTCCACATTTCTAATTTCATTTCTTGTTAGTTATTGTGAACTGCCCTGAACTTGAAAAAATATTTTCAGGGCTCTAAGAGTTTATACGTCACACTGACCAGCTATAAACAATGACGAAAGACATAAATTCATATTCTGAACTTTCAATTGCCTGCAAAAGCAAAAAAAACCTGAACAAAATTATCAAAAACTCTTAGAATCACTAATTCTATAGTGATGAAATCAGTTACTGACTATAATATTAAGATAATAAACGAAACCAGAACTCATGAGAATCTAAAGTTGACAGTATATATGACCAAAAAATCAGATCAGACTGTCAAGCTTTTTTTTTTCCTGTCAGCAGCTGGCAATTACAAAATGTTTCCTGGATTCATCACTCTCAAAATTGTTCTACCACAATTTCAGTATGTCCTGACAAAATATATGAAGGGTGTATTTGAAACAAACAAAGCAGTCAAATAAGAATTATTTTATTGATAAAACTTATCAGAAGCAACACGCACTCTGGATTTGATTTACTATGCTTAAGTACCTACTAATTTTGCTAAAGAAGAAAAGCTAAAATTATTCTTGTGCATTTTGTTTATTGAAAAAGTGACAAATAAGCTAAGATTTTAAAAAATAAAAAGAGAGCAAACAACTGCTGCATAAGAGGAAAAGAACTATGTATAGATAGCTGCTGGTCTGGCGCCACGTGAGATGCAATGGTTCTCCAACTTACAAAAGTTTATTTAAAGGCCTGAGTAGTTGCCAAATTGCTTATTTTAATCCATTACAGTAGGATGTCAGAGAAAAAAACAGAAACATGTTGAAAGGAGCTACAGTGAATATCTGCTCCCAAAGACCAAAATGCCCAAAGACAGAGTATATAGAGATGTTAGATTCCAGATGTTAGCAATCAAAACAATTATTATTATAAAACACCTCATTCATCTATCATAGGGATTTCTAGCGCGCACTTTCACAGTATCTGGATGCTGAAGACAGTAATGAGTTGTCAGAAGGCAGGGAGTATCAAAAGAAGCTCAGAGATGGCAGGTTCAAAACAAGCATGGGAAACGATTCTTCATTCAAAATGTAGTTAAGCTTTGAAACTCCTTGCAGTGGGATGTTTTAGGTCCTAAAAGTTCACATAGGCTTCAGCAAAGACTGGACTAATTAATGAAAAAATATTCTCTAAGGTCTACTAAACACAGAGAAATCACAAAGTCCTTGAACTACAAATGACTAGAGGCTAACAGAATACTTGGGGGGAGAGGCTCCACATGCTCACACTGGTTTGTTTTTTTTCCCCCCAGAGCTTTGATTGTTAGTCTTTGTGATAGTTAACATACTGGGCTAGATGGAACTTTAGTCTGACCCAATACAGTTGCTTTTCTGTCTTTACATCTCTGCTCTTTGGCTTTTCCAGATCTAACATTTTGGGTAGCTGTTTTCTTGCTCCTTCTCTTCTTTAAAGTTGTTAAAAGTATGTATTTTCAATTACTGTGACATGGCTCCTGTAGAAAGGGGTGTCTTGCCATGTGTCTAAAAAAAATGGCAAAGGTGTGGCTGCAAACTATTAACTTGACATCCCTGAACTTCACAAAAAGCTGTGGATTTGGATCATCACATATGTGATATTTCATCCTATGCTTACATACCATATGCTGTCAAAATAGCTACAAAAGTCAGTGAGTTTTCTTTGTGTTATTTGTTTCATATATTTCTTAAATTTCTTGCAGTACAGAAGCACAGCTCTGAAGAGTTTTCCAGAAAACATTGAAAGTTCACAAAACGTGAAGGTATCAATGTCAAAAATGTATTCTTACAGTTCAATGCAATTATAGGTAATATTAATATTGCATGGCATAGGTGCACTATTTAAGTCATGGTCATGATTCCACAGTTGAGTTCCACTTTAAAATCCAAGATGAAAGTAAATCTTTTTTATATATGTGTATATGTGTTTGTTTATATATGTCATTTCATCCTGTCCATATTTACAGCACTCATTTCTTTCATTCAGAGTATACTACAACAAAGAGAATTTAAGAAAAGCCTGCTTAAGGTGCTAAGGAAGCCTATAAGGGAAGAGGACTAACAATCGTATCAGGGAAACTGCTGGCAAAGACTTCTAAGAGTGAAGTGCAAGCCCATGAAGACAGGATGGAGAATAAATTCCCTAAGTCTAAGAAGAAAACCACCTTTATAAAAGAAAAGGAACTAGGAGTTCAAGCAGGACTGACAGAGCTCCTTTGACTTAGAAATAAGCTGAAGACTGTGATCTCATCTTCCAAAAAGAGTACATGGAAAGACACACTGAAAAGGAAAAGTCTCTACTCTATCAGCTTGTTCACAATGAATTAAACTTATGAACTAAAAAGAAAAAAACTTATGCGTGCACATATATGTTTATAAAAGAACAAATTTCAACACTCAAGATGTGTAACCATCAATCTAGGTATGATATTCTAAATATTAGTCAATGTCAGTTTTGAAGTTCTGTATGTGATAAATCTACATGGATTAAGTCATATAAAATCTGTGCCTGATGTTACTAATTCACACTTCCTTTAAAGAATTTCTCTTGAAATAAATGTGAATACAGGATGCTTTAACAATGAGGCTTGTGGAGAAACTATTATCATAGCAAATACTTGCTGAAGATAGACTTTGCTCTTTTTCCACTTCTAAGAACTTCAAGTAAAAAATAAATGCCAGACTTTATCGATCTAATTCTAGTTCTCCGTCCCAAGGAGTTTTACTCTGAAATGGTAACAATATACGTAGGTGAAGCAATGCTTAATCAATCAATAAATCAATTAAACCAATATCTATTCACTAAATACTGAGCATGTTTAAGATATGTACTTAGTGTTTTCAACCTAAGACACACAATCCCTTTACCACAGAAAAAAACATAGAAAGCTTCATAACTCTTTAGCCATCTATAAAATGTTAGTTAAAATACAACAAACTACACTGCAGAATTACCCATGACAAAATGAAGGGACTCTCAGATGCTAAGAGTTAGTATAGTGAGCAGAAAACATACACATTCTCCCTTTCATCACAAAATGTAATTGCAACAGGTATCTTAAAAAGTTGGCAACACCAATTATGGGATGACAAGAAGAGAATGCACTTTCTGAACAGTGTCCGCCAAAAGGATCTTTGAAGATTCTCGTTTCTGTATTAAAGCTGTCCCCCTAACAGTAGCAGAACTGATTCTCTACTGGGAAGGCAGTAGAAAGTCAGCAGCTGTTTTCTGCCTATCCTGCAATATCTACTTTGCAAGATGTCAGTTCACCCAGACTGAGTCTGCTTCTTTGCTCTTCAAGTTCTCTGAACAAAAATCCCAAACTGTTGCTAAACTTAGTATTTGAAAATATACGGGTTGACACGGTTACTGGTGGTAGTCTTGTGAAGACTTTAAAATACGCATACATAAAAATAGTACACTAAAATGATATTTTCAGTCATGCTCCCTTGGTGTTATCAGAATATCCAGAACTTTGCAATTTTTTTCTCCCAGGAAGCCAAGTTTTGGCATGGTTAAGGAGACACTTCATTGAATAAATTGTATCTTTACTATTTCAAACAAAACACATCAAAGACACATAATCCAAGGAGAGGCTTTGCTGAAAAGATCTTTCATGA